TTATCAGATATCTTTCCTCATTATAGACCTGAAAATATATTGGAATTATTCACATTAGTTGCGTTACATCAAATCACCAAATCTAGCAACTTTGAAGGACACTGACACTGGAAGTAATTTCACGAAATTTGTGACATTCATTAATACAATAGTACAATTCTTTCGCTTTTTCAGACATATTCAGCAGTTTTATAGACCTTATCCGATCTTAATATGTGTAAATTATAAGTAAGAATGAGTCGGAAATTTGTAGGTTGCTTGCACGGATTCAGTACAAGCTTGGCCATACTTGCTTGTAACGTCTTCTAGTTGAAATGCACAACGGAAAATATTTACTTGCAGAGGACTTGAACATTGGATATTCACTTGATTGAAAATTTAAATCTTGTCAGTGCCAGTCCAATTAAACTAAGAATATTTCTAAAGATTGCCAATTGTTTTAAGCCGCAGCTTTAACCAAAGTGACACGAACTCTACTCTGAGGTATTTTGAGCGCGTATGAGTTCACGAATTAAGCTATGTCTCTGACACTACACTTCGCTACATGGAGCTATGTATCTGACACTATATACACAATACGAAGCTATGTCTCTGACCAATAATAAATTACAATGGATACTTCATGAGCTGTACACATCATGCAACCAACGAGCAGGGAAGTAGTGAAAGTTGTATTTGTTCATTGTCAAAAATTCAAGATTTATCACGCAAATAATTTCAAATATGGCCTCAAAACTTTTTAAAAGTGTTTGAAGTGTCCGGTGTCAACACCGGACAGAAGCAAGCGCTTCTTTATTTCCTATAACTATTTAAAGTTAATTAATTCAATTTTAATTTATTCGAAAGCTCTTTTATAGCCTCCGACCAACCTCGCAGTTATTAACTAGATTCAGGATTTGCAGGACCTTCCCCATTTCATCTCAAGGAAGACTTTTCTTCCTGACAGGATGTTCGCGTGGACGTTCAGACAGATGCCGCTCATACAATGGCGTAATTATGAGTTGCCTGTGAAAGCCGTGCGTGATCACTACTTGGCATGCGTTGCAGTCTCCTTATTGGGGCACTTGTACGGCGATGCCTTGAGGGTATATCTGCGGGTGCATACAGAGAACAGGGCGACTGTGAGTTAATGCATTGATTGCAAATAACTTCTGTCATGTTGGTCTTCGTCAATAATTATCACTAGTGTATCTATCTAAATAATTAGGAACAGTTGTTCCTTGTGATAAATCATGACCAGTTCATAGAGATCACTTCTTTGTCGGCGTTGCATTTCCCCTGGATTTCATACGATCCCTCGAAGAGTTCAGATGTATAATCGAACAACGAAACAGGACAATTACCCTTTCGTGATTTAAAATAACTAGCTACCATGACCCTTTTAAGGAGTAAGAAGGATTTTACAGGCCCGAGCATTCGATATGTAATAATTATCTATGGAGATCCGGCAGAAGAATTTTTATCGTTGATGATTTCCATGAAAAATTTTGCCATTTTTTTGTAGGTACACACTGCGAATGAATAACTTTTCTTTTTTTTTTGTCTATGCTGAAAAATAGAGTCTACATTTCAATTAATTTTATTTTAAATGTATTTTTGTCAATGTTAAAATTTCTTTGAGAGTTTGTTCAGAGTAAGAAACTTACTGTAAGATCTTGAACACTCTGATACGTGGCGGATTTTGTTTAATGATCATAACTGTGATACGCGGCGGATTTGTGTTGAGCTTTAACTAAGATTTATGAGCCGATTCTTTGAATGGCAAGAGTGAGTTGCTTCAACTTTGACTTCTTGCGATTTATCTTTTCAAATATTTTAAATTTCAAAATTTCGTGTGTTTGCTTACGCAAAATTCTTCCTTTTGCAGCTTGTTTGTCACCATCATTTGATAGTCGTTTATTCTTTCAATGCAAATTAATTACACCTGAATAACGGTGAGATAAAGAGATAAAGCATTTGAACTGATCCCGTGCGGATGCGCTGCAAATTTCATTATTGCATTGGCAGTTTTTTTCTTGCAAAATATCCTAAAAGCTGCACCAGCTGCAATAAATCATTTATTTGTAGAGAGCCCGGCTGTCAAATTCTCGTAAATGTGGGCGGCTTTGTCATTCACTTAAGATTTATTCTTCTTTTAAAATGTTGCCAGGGGTTCGGTGAGCGACGGTTACAGACGCAGGCACCCAACTCAATCATTTCCAAGGATTTAATCATCGCTTAAGAGAAATTGGTTTTAAAATAGGTTGGGTGAATAGAAAAACCAGATTTATAAAGAAAAGTGACGTACATTCATTCATCTATGAGTGGAATGAATGCAAGATGTATATGTCGTGCCGAAATCGCGGAATTGCCGAATCTATGGAATCAGCAGCCAGTTTGCCGAATCTGTAGACTCAGCATTTCGTTGCTGATTCAGAAATTCGGACTTTAGAGTTAGAGTTAGAACATAAATCGACAGTTAGAGTTAGAAAATGTTAGGTCAAGCTAGCTCAAGTTCCTTTACATTTAAACATTAAAAAAACTTGGCTGATTGACCTAACCACAGATTCCTATATTATTATTCTACAGATTCGGCAAACTGGCTGCCGGTTCCTGAAAATCACCAATTTCTGCGCTTTCGGCACGACATGTAAAACGGTGCGAGATCTGAGCTTCGTGATCTACTCATCAGGTAATGTAATGGCATAGAAAAATGTTTTAAAAAATCCGACGTTTACATCAATTTTGTAACGCCTCATTTTGATTAAGAAGCAACTTGCAGTGAGTAGGTTCCAAATCACAGGTTCAAAACGCAGGATAGGATTCTTTCAGCGATGGAAAATATTGACCTTTAATAATAATTGTATGCCTGGGAGCCCTTAAAGAACAGCGCCGAGTGATTCACACAAAGGTTTTGAAACTTTGAACGTAACATTTTTTGCCAGGCACTTGAGAAGAGCGCTGTTGTGCGCCGAGGTGCGCTATGTTTCTATTGTTATTGTCAGAGGGAGTCCAGCTTACTCCAGCACGGGCTATGAGGGCGTACACCGTACAACATAAACCTGTTCTTGCCAGTCTCTGCATTACCAATTAGATTTTTGTTAACTTGGTAACTTTTCTGCCGAGTTTAATCTTGGAAGATAAGATAAGAATTCATACATGAACTGAGACACTCGCACTGGGAAGACCCTGAAGGTCTACACGACTATTTGCTTTCCTATTGACGTCGCTCCGTAAGAGACCTTCTCGATACTTATAGGATATAAAAGCTCCTCAGTTTTGTCCATACAACTTACATTACCGAAACAAATATTGTAATACGAAGCCAGCAACTTCTATGGCCGCTATTTCTAGTCCAACCTTTTCAAATTGAGTCCCTTACGACTACCCCATGTAATATGCTGGCCACTATTGCCGATGTTCTTTGCCCGAACATGGGCATCATAAGGAGACTCAGTAAAGCGTTTTTTAGGACGTTAACTAAAGATTTCTCCGCCCTTCAGGGCTGCAACTCACCCCACCATTGGCTGCGCTTGACGTCAGCTGGGCATTGCTGAGAGAACGCCCTCTCGTGGGCAGAGATGAGCCGCTTAGCGGACTTACCGCTAATTCCTTTAATGAAATTAAGATAACACAAAAACACTCAATTTTTTACGGCAGCTCATCAGGAATAGTGACATATCTTCTGAATTTTGTAAGTCTCCGTCATATCAAAATTGAGAAAATTAAGTATATCTTTCCTGCGTCAAGTTTGGAAATATTTTTGCATGGCAAAAAGGCAGGCACCTGCAGACTGGCACTGGACTTGTGGCCAGCGACGCTGACGAAGCTCTTCGCCAGGTGAGCTCAGAGCACGTGCAGCGGCGACGGTATAAGGGCCTCTGTTTACCTCATGTCCTGTGGACCGATCAGTGCAGCGGCGACGGTATAAGGGCCTCTGTTTACCTCATGTCCTGTGGACCGATCAGTGCAGCGGCGACGGTATAAGGGCCTCTGTTTACCTCAGGTCCTGTGGACCGATCAATACATTTCCGACACGCTTCAAAGGCTCGGGTAGCGGACAATGCGCATTACTCGAGCCCGATTGCCTCCTCCTAGTAGGAAGTGAACTAAACTAACGGCTCTGAGCATTTCATGTCCGTTTCCTGTTCAGTGAATTTTTTACGAAGACTAAAATGTGCATTACCAGGTCTTTTGCATTTGTTTACTTGTAGAAAGTGAACGATGAAGAAAATTTTCTAAGTCCTAACATAATCTCACATCTCAAACAAAGTCAATTCTTAGATAGGAGGTAAACGTTTATTGGTTAAGACAATTCATATGACAATTCCAGCAAGAAGTGAAGTCAGATAACCGGATAAAATGCTTAAGTCGGAGCTTTGATAAAACAAAATTCTTCGATGTGGAGTGAAAACTTATGACTGAAAATAATTTGTCACGAATATATCTAACAAATATTTTCGTAGTCTGTGATCGGAGTGAATCAACATAATGCTCCTATGTGAAACAGGACGCGCTATTCCGTGTAAACATACGAATGCTGACACTCCTATTAGTACCTGAGACACTGTGTTATAATGTGAAACGTGCACCTATGTGAAACACTGTTGTCTGATATTATTTTTTAATTTAGGTAAAGAAAATAATTATCTTAAGTTTTAATTGAGCTTTATTTCCTCAATTAAATAATAAAGATATCCTGTAATAGGCAGTCATTATATATAGGCTCTACTAAAGCATCACATGTTCAAATGCGTGTTTTCATTTTCCGGTATCGAACTGATTTTATGTCGCTGTAAGCTCAATGTAGTTGCTTATATAGAAAAGATGATTTCCATATTTTATTAAATGAAAATTTTGTTTCTGCCTTGTATTTTTATTTAAAATATTTGGTAAATGTTCTATTAGTTTACTGTTTGTTATATAGCGTTCTAATTGCTATCATTCTTATTCTCCATTTCCCAGAAATCTGTATTAATGATTTTAAAAAGCATTGAATCCGAACGAAACCTCACGAACGATATCCAGACGACTTTTACCACTTTATTTGTGCATCTATTGTTTACATGGACTTATTGAGGCCTTGTGCTACTTATTTCCTTGATGCGAAGCGTCCCAACCCCGTAACCAAGTCTCGGACGCTCCAACAACCGATGAAGTGCTCATGCAGATCTCACTCTGCGGTGATTACCTTCGTATGGACACCTCATCTACACAGCCCTGCCGAGGTTATTGCTGGAGTGAAGCAGGGAGTGGGTTGGAGTAGCCATGGTGGAGGTGTTGGAGTGCAGGGAGAGCTACTCACACACTCTTCCCTCTCCGCCGCACTCCCTCAGTACTCCAACACACACGGATATAACAGAGGTGAGATTCACAGCCGTAGATAAGCTGATAAATATTACAAATTCTCTTGAGTAAATATTTTCTCTTTATATTTGGCTATGCAATTTTCAGATAATGTTCCATAACTCTGAAAAAAAAACTAAAATTATACTAACAATTTTGCATTTTCAACGTGGGAAACTATATCTTCTTTAATTTTGCTTGCTTCTGCAATTCTGATTTTGATCATGCTACTGGTTTGAACCTCCTAGAGTCTTGCACGACTCAAGGACCGAGTTTCAGTCTAAGTCTTAAGCGCCATGGGTAATAACGAATGGGCGATGCAAATCAGGGGTTTTTCCACGTTGTGAAGGATAAAACTCAAGTCTAGCATAATAAATACTTCTAAACTGATGCTATTGGTAGCTATGCCTTCCGTTCACTTATGTGCCACCTTCCCATGTGCAAATTATTAATTTGTACGTTGGCATTATATTGAAGGAGTGTGATGCATGTGAAATCTTGATGCATGGCGATTTCTCGTGGTTAATTTTGAATGAGAGCAGCAGTGTTGTTGCAGCCCTCGAGAAACGTTCGTTGTCAGCATCCGAGTGTTATTCTTCTTTGGCACTCAATTTAAACCGGAGCTTGAACAACCTTGCGGTGGCAGTTCAACCCAAAGTCCATTATTTAAGCATTAAAAGTTTCATCTTTTATTAAGGTTCAAGTCTTCTTCATAAGAAAAAATATTTATACTCGTATATACTCCACAGATATCGATTACGAGCTTAAACTAAAAGTCCCGGGAAGAATAGCGCCGATGTTCACTGGCGTATAGATCTCTTTACTATGGCCGGATTATTATTCTTGGCATGAAATGTTTATGCTCAATCCATTCAATGATATTGTAGTTAGAGCCTTGTCGTGAGATTTTTGTGCTCGAGACATTCAATGACATTGTAGCTTGTGCTCAATACATTCAATGATTTTGTGGCTAGAGTCTTGGCATAGATGTTTGTGCTCAATACATTTAATGATACTATAGTTAGGGTCTTGGCATAGATGTTTGTGCTCAATACATTTAATGATACTATAGTTAGGGTCTTGGCATATATGTTTGTGCTCAATACATTAAATGATATTGTAGCTAAAGTCGTATAGTGACAAACGTTGGTGACGCTCATGAAAATATATACATATAACATTACAACCATAACAGCATATTACTATTACATTTAATTTTATTTTATCATGTCCTAGAATAGATTTGATCCTAATTTAAGTATTAAATCCTCTACAATAAGTCAAGTGTAGGCTATACTATCATTTATTTACTATCTTGGTGGGGCAATACAGCTGCAGCGTATCTGCGTGCGCTGCAATAACTCAAGTGGATGTCCCAGCAGTAAAAACACACGAGGCGTACAATGTAATGCAAACACTAGGCTCGTGCCCCTATTTGATCAAGAGGCAAAAGTGTACACAAAAGTGTGTGAACCTTGAACCTGCGGCAAGCAGACATATGGAATTGTTTGCTCGCTACTTAACACGGCCTCAGCTGAGCACAGTTCTTGACGATGAACCTGGCTAATGATCCTTTGCTATATAGGCATCGCTGCGCCGAGCTATGCTTTCATGATAATAATGCCTGGAGAATTAATATACATTTCAGTGACAAAGAGCAGTCACTTTAAATATACATAATCGTCTTGTTTCATTTTTTGCAACAATTTTCTGGAGGTATGAATTCATGAACGGACATTGCGCATCAGTGAAAGCTTTTGTTATCTGTGATGGTGTCAACCTACGGCACGCTCCGCTATATACAGTGTTGCAATCAATAGATTAACTAAGGAAATATTTATTCATATTAAGCAGACGAGAAATTTTGAAGAAGTTTTGAGAAAAATAATAAGTTTTTATATCATTCATTCCTGAAATTTTGTATTTAATTCTTCAACTCTTGTGATGAAGATCAATTTAGCAGCTCACCATATTATATAACAAATTATTACATAATGATGTGTAAGACAAGGTTTATATGCCCGTACATTATTGGCATGTATTTTTTAATATAATGATTTGAAATAAAAAATGTTCTTCAACTCTTGTGATGAACATCAATTTAGCAGCTCACCATATTCAGCAAATGATTACACAATGATGTTGTATAAGACAAGGTTTATATGCCCGTACATTATTGGCATGTATTTTTTTAATATAGTGATTTGAAATAAAAATGCTACATCAAGTTCCTCAGACTCTGAACTGTTTTCACCAAGAAATGTGCCGGGCTGTTTCAACGAACTAATCCTGAACTCACTGACGTGAGCGTTGCACGACAATCCCATCAATACAGAGATGTAACTTATCTCTCCATTATGTATATACTTGCCCACAAAAGAAGCTGGCTGTTCTTTGCATTTTACAATAAAAATTGCTCCCGTTTGGTCACATGTTCCTTTCAAAGCAATTGCAAATTTTTCTCGATAAATCAAATTCTGAAGCAAGAGATGTTCATAATCTGTAGAGTGGTAAACCCAAACAATTTTGGAATTTATACAAATAAAATGATCGTTAGAGTATAAACTAGCGCGCAATAGTTCATATAAAGAACATATGAAAAATATATGAAACTAAACTTGCAATTAAATAATTCCTAAGAAAGCAGAAGTACAGAAAATCGAAGCACGCTACATCCAAGGTAGGTTCTCACCTCAACCACGTAGCCATTTGGAAACATTATATAAATTGCATCAACATCAACCGAATAAAACTGGAACGACAGATTTCGTCTAAACTAATAGCGTATAATCTCATGGTGACATCTGAGGACCTTGAGGGCCAGACGTAACAAAATTATTGATAAATTTCCCTTTGATGATAATTTATTAATATTTCGAGGGTAGGGGTGGTTTGATTTGTACCAGTTTTAAAACCTTTATTTTACCACCTCAATATATGGGCTAGGAGCCACGTGTTTAGTGTGGCATGTTGAACTGGATGGTGAGTTAGTTCGGGATCCGCTTCTCTGTATGTTTAGTTCAAGAAAATTTCAATAAGCAGCGCCGATGTTGGCTGCTCATGCAATGAGCGCCGCTACTTGAAATAATGTCTGCATGAGTGAATTAAAGCACAAGCACAAATATGTTCAACTAATATGAGAACCCAGATTTATTTATTTAGGACCCTAGGATTTATTTAGGCAAATTAATCTATTCTGAAGTCTCGAAATTATTGTACAATTATTTCATATAGAGAGCCTATGAGTAGCGCAGGTCAGTGTTAGGGCAGGTAATGGATGCATCTGTAATTTGTCGTTCAACGACGCAAGTGAGCGGTGCACTTCAGGCACCAGCTGCACACATGTTTATTCGTAGTACACGAGTTTCAAGGCCGACATCGTAAACCGGCGCAAATCGTCATATATCCTTAGAAATCTTCAGAGATCCTCGTAAATCGTTGCAAAATGTCCATATTTTTGTCGTAAAGCTGCCACTGCCATTGACTCGGACAAGTGTGTTGTGACGCGGACTAGAGATATTGTCGTGTCCTAAAGATGTCTCTTGACGTTATGTCAGCTCTCCGATACTCGCCGCTTGCTCGGACCAAACGAAAGCTCAAAAGCGCATTGCTTTTTATTGAGACGAGAGGCAGAAGCTTTGGAATATTACGAGCAATACAAAGGCCCTCTCTTGTTCCGAAGCTTGCTGGAGCTCCAAAGTTTTACTGAAGCCATGCGAGGAAGAATTTTCATGGACCTACGGCCAATGGAAGTCATTTGATTTCACTAGAAATTACGACACCGAGGCTGCGGTCATTTGCAAAAGAACCTTGTATTCAATGGCCACATTTCTGTAGAGAGCCCGCACGGTCCTGATGCTCGCAATAATTTACGAATGTTGTCATTCTTTGACCGATCTTTTTCTACAAGTGCTGTAAAGCAACAAGAATCATTTTAGCGATTGAAGGACAATGGTGGATTATTTTATTTGACGCTGAGATTTTAATCATTAAAAAGATGCTCAGGAATGAATGATTAACATTATCTTATGCAGCTTGGCTGTTATGTTCTCTCATATAATCGTTCACTGTTCCTACTGTTTCCGTGGCGCCTGCGCAGTTAAGACGTTCAAAAATTTCGCCTGGTTTCCGGTTGCCCATGTCGCTCTCAGCGATACTCTCGGCAATTTGATGGGCGTTATTAGGCATACTTGAAAAATTTTAACTTAATTTTTCATCTTTCAGGAACTTTATTTCTAAGAACATATCATATTCGCGTGTTATTTCACATTAAAACTTAATCTGATCCATTCGAAGTCGAAAGGAATATATTTATTATTTTGGGTAAAATATGTGACACACAGTAATCATGATTGCCAATTGGGAGCCGCATTAACATAGTTCACATTTTTTCGGTCAACTATAACGAGAATATTCCATGCTAACAATGATCACAAGAATGTTCATTACCAACTTACTTTTCTTTTCCTTCGAAGTGTACAAATAAACGGAGGGCATTATAAAACATGAAGTTCATTTTCAAGTGTGTCAACTTTATCAATTCAGAATGTGTGTTAGAACACATTTTTATGTTCGAGATTCTTACAAATACTTTTAGTTTATTTCACCGAAGTCATACTAATGAAACATAGATTCGTTTTGTGGGAAATTTCCCACCGTTTATCATATTTCTATTCTTTAAACTGAATTTAGTAGTAATTTATGTTTGGGTAATATTAAGATTATTCTAGGGTAAGTTTAATGTTATGGTAATTTTGGTCAAACTCGGGTTTCCGCAAATAGAGTTCGCACTGATACACCACCGTAGCACTGATACACCACCGTAGCACTGATACACCACCGTAGCACTGATACACCACCGTAGCACTGATACACCACCGTAGCACAGATACACCACAGTAGCACAGATACACCACCGTAGCACTGATACACCACCGTAGCACAGATACACCACAGTAGCACAGATACACCACCGTAGCACAGATACACCACCGTAGCACAGATACACCACCGTAGCACAGATACACCACCGTAGCCACACGCAATTTCATAATCTCCAGCCTGCCTGTCGTCGGCCGCCGCTACTTCACCAGCATTCAACCACAAGTCTAAATTTCTCCCTTGTTCTGCAATTTGTCTATTTCTTGGTTTGTGTGCAAGATTTTCTTTCGTTTTGTTTAGTTGCTAAATGCTTTGCTTTATTTTCAACTGGATGCTTCAGTTTCAATTAATTCTATTAATGGTGATCTTAATCACGTTCAACAATTAAAATTCAATTTACTTAAAAGTTCAAGATGGCGGCACTGAAAATAGCTGTGTTATCAATAGCGTAAGTCGTCAATTGTTCATTAATTTCTTTCAAATCAAACTCTTCAACTATTCTATACTATTTCCTAACTGCAGCATCCTCCTTAATCTGATTTCATCTATTTTCATTGAATTGTCTCTTCAAAAAGTGTATTACCACACTGAGTCCACAATTAATTCAGGTGTGTTAACATTCAATTTTACTATTTGTTTTAAAATCTCACAGGATACTTTGAAATTTAGAAACGGTTACTTGTTCATTCACCTGTATTCAGGCTGCACCCTTATTTTTATTTTCAGTATCACTCCATCTGTTCAAGACCAGCTGCAACTCTTTGGTGCCGATGACGATAGCTTGACGCATTCTGATGTCCTTGATTCACTTGCCGAGACCATTGCCGACTCCATCAAGTCTACCAACAATTATTGTTTGATCGACCTTCGTCTATAAAAAGTTCTATCTAAATAAATTAATAAATCTCTGAAGCTATCATTCAACTTACTATCATTTGCCGTAAGAAAGACTGTGTGAAATTATTCACAGTTTAAACTGAAATAAATATGCTATATTTCTTGATTTTCAGATGTGGCAGGACATCGAAACTCTACTTCTTGCAGAAACCTTCCCGAACATTTCGCCCTCTCCTATGACACCAGTTTGGTCCCCTGCAGCTTCAAGCTCCGTAACTCCTCCAATGCTAAGCCCAGTAATTCCTGTGAGACATTCCATGCCTGAATTTGAACAAACTTCTGCAAATCAGAATACCTTCGAACCACAATCACATCACAGTTCCTTACAGGCCTTAACTCCGGTCTCAAGCTTTAGTCCCTCAGAGGCGAGCTGCTTGAACGATTCGTTCTCAAGCGGCTGCTCCAGCAACATGCTGAGCATAGTGTCTTGCATGCGAGCTCTAGACTCCAAACAAAACTCTGCAGTCCCTCCGAACATTGAAGGCAGTCGATCTAGTCTCTTGACTGATGGAGCAGGCTTAGTCTTTACTGATTTATCGGATGCTACACCTAATACCCTTGGGTGCCGGAGATATGAACATCCACAGCCCGTGCACCTTGACTACAACGGGAACAACGACGTCAATAGCACAAGCTGGCGATTTCAAGACGACAAAAATGGATTTCAAATGTTTTCTTTGAATGATGAAAATAATATTCATCAACAGCGGGTAGGAGAAACGAACGCTAACTTGAAAGCGTTACCTCCACTGCCTTCAATGAGCAGCTCAGGATTTCCTCCAGCATCTTCTTTCAGTTGCGCTCCATTTTCTTTTGACTTACATAATTGTGACAGGGCTTTAAGGAATAATAATTTTACTGAGGCTTGTCTTCCAAGCCCAATCTTTTCGAACGTTGAATGCACGTTGGAATCGCTTGAATCTGAAACCTTTCCAGATATTCCCAGCATAGCAGCACATCCTGATGACGCGGAGTTTCATCTCAACACAGCAAATGACCATCCTTCCATCCATGAGAGTGAGACTCATGCTCAAACATCTTGTGTAGCTCCCCCGAGCTGTTTTAATTACTCCTCAGATATCCAACAAAAACTTTCAGTTCCTTGCTTTTCCAATAGAGACCCAAAAGATGTGTTGTCGATTAATGTTGACAGTGTCCATAAGCCTTCATGTCTATATTCTGCTAACTACATGCTAGACACTTCAGGGCAACCATTGAAGAAATCAATAGAAGGCATCAGCCAAGTCGATCATACAAACCCGGAACGGAAGGTTGGAAGAAAGCGAGCTCGAAATAAAAATAACGTGCAAGCAGAGATGTCCGAAGAAAAGTTGACGCCAAAAATATCAAAAATCGATGAAAATTATGACCAAAAAATTGATTGCATTCGACAAAATGATAATTCCTGTAAAGCTGGTGCGCTACCAGCTGGAGATGCAGCACAGGAAGATAAAAGTTACTCAACTGATATTTGCCTTTCATTATCTCAGTACACTGAACTGCAGAACAGTTTTCAACGAATTAACCCTAAAAATCATTACAAAATTCATAAATATACGCACTCTCATCCAAAATTTGAACCAGTAGACGGATTGATCACAAATGAAAAGAGAGTCCATACAAAAGTTACTCAGGCCCCGAGCTCGGACCGCCGAAGGATTAGTCCACAAGTCAACACCACAGCCAAGCCAGCAGGCTCTTTAATTGGGAACAAAGCTAACAATGTGACTTCTGAGGCCGAGAATCAAATCAACACTGAATGCGAAACGCCTTGCACTTGCCATAAACCTGACGACGAGTATTATCAGTCGCCCGACAGCTCCCTTGGCCACGCTAATCCTGTCCTAAATTCTACTTTAGCTCGGCACGAGACCGTTTCTGAAGCCATTCCGGATCATATCAGCTATGACATGCACCTAAATTCACAATCTTGGTCGTCATCAGCATACCTTGGCACGGGCAGTTACCCTGCAGCCTCGGCGCAACATTCAAGCTACCCCACTGAGTATCCTGGCTACTATAGCTCCGATGGCTACACTCCAGCTTACCTTTGGTCACAGGACTTGCCTGCTCCACCTCCTCCCTCAGCCGAAGACCTCGCCACTAACAACCCTAACAATGCCAATGCCCACAACAATGCGTCATTGCCAAGGATTTCAGGACAATCGACGATGGCATGTCAAACTGACGCGACGCCTGTGAGACCAACGTTTTCTCAACAACAGCAACACGCAGTTCAATACCACCAACATGAGCTTCAACAACAGCAGCAGCAACAGCAGCTGTCGCAAACACCAGCTCAGCAATCTAACCAACAGCAACAACAACAGCCACCGAAACCAAGAAGGCGAAGAGCCAAACGAAAAGTAACCATACACAAATGTCCGTACGAAGGCTGCATAAAAACATACATCAAATCTTCGCATTTGAAGGCTCACTTGCGGACGCACACGGGGGAGAAGCCTTACCAGTGTTCCTGGAAAAGCTGCGGCTGGAAGTTTGCGAGATCTGATGAGCTGACGCGGCACTTCAGGAAGCACACAGGCGACCGCCCCTTCCAGTGCCGACTGTGCGACAGATCCTTCGCTCGCTCCGACCACCTCAGCCTCCACATGAAGCGCCATATATCCATATGAGCGAGCACCACTATTTTTTGTGGTTTAAGGTGACATTTAATTAATTGATGAGGCTGGCCCATTTATAATGGACAAAATTTTTGTGAATTGTAAGCATTGTATTAACGAACGCTTGATGCCGCGTTGTTTGTCATGTATTGACGTGACATATTGACTTCAAAGTATCAACATTTTATCAATAATTAATTGATAAAATATCAATGGACTTGATCAATGAATTATATCATAATAAATCAAATATATTCCTAACTTCATATATGTAGGAAGTAAAGCAGGCACGGCACCGTCTGCCGACAGTGCCTGCATCACGCAGCAACTTGCGACCAAAGATGACACATTTGTCTTACACTTGACAAGATTCTCTCTGTCTTAAGCATTTTGTATTTATCCCAACATAATTCATTTCAATTTGAACTTTCTTGCTGAATTATAATTAAATCATCTTTGAAAAAAAAAACGTTCCGTTCAAGTTCTTATGTTCACCTTTCATTCTATTTTCATCCATCGCCATAGCAGTTTAAAATCTAGGGTTGAAGACTTCCTTCTTCCTTGTGAAGAAATTTAGATGAAATGTTTTTGTTATTGCCATACTCAACATTTACTATAGAGTTCATCCAATGCCATACCGGCGATCCCTGAGCCATAGAATCAGCGTTCATCTGGCCAGCAGAAAAAAGGAGTCCAAGCGTGCAAAATGAAACTAATCAGTCCAGACAAGCTCGGAATAATAAAGTGCAGATGCAATCAGCCGTGGAATGTTTCCGTAGCTTTACCTTGCTAATCGTTTACCACGGACTAAAATCGGACTCCAGAAGGGGACATGTTGAGGGAATATAATTAATAACTGATACATCATCGACTTGAGGATTCTGGATCTGTGACTGTGGCTTAGCTGCGACCTGAAATCGATGGAATGAACGGTGCACGAGGCTGAAGGATCATTAAACGGAAGACGCTCCTCGCCATTGTGAAACAGACTTTATTCAATATCAACTAAGACGACGACAACAAATAAAAAGAACAAGTTTATACGCAAATTATGCGCACGACCATCGCTCCCGTCCCAGGCAGTGCACTGCGTACAAAAAGCATTGGAACTTGTTGAACAAATTTACTCTCCCCTTCAAGATCTTCAATGCAGGTGAGAAATATTCTTTTCAATCAGCTGTCAATGTTAATAGAACATTCTTATCATGATTATTGCACTGACAAAGTTGCTCCTCGAAATGCTTAACACTTTCCTTCGGGGATCCGCACCAGACTTGACAAATTTCATACTGTGACTGAAATGAAGACTCACTCAAGCTGACCCGTCCCTTTAGCCCGTCCCTATTGACTCCCTCAAGCTAACCCGCCTCATTAACCCGTCCCTATTGACTCCCCCAAGCTGATCCTTCCCATTAATCCATCCTTATTGACTCATTCAACATGACCCGTCTCTTTAACCCGTCCCTATTGACGACTTCCCTAAGCTGACCAGTCCCTTTAACCCGTCGTCCCCATTACCTTCCTCAAGCTAACCCGTCTCTTTAACCCGTCCCTATTGACTCCTTCAAAATGACCCGTCCCTATTGACGACTTCCTTAATTAAGCTAACCTGTCCCTTTAACCCGTCCCTATGGGTCGTTGTCTCGGCCGTATTTTATAAATACTTTTCATATGTCACATATTTCTGAAGCATTTCCACCACTAGAATTACGAGGAAAATTACTTTACAAAATGAGTAGGAGTAAATTGAGTCCAAATTTTATCCTATTTGTGGATGAATGTGAATACAAGTAGTCCACAGTTGAGCATCTCAACAGGACACTTCTCCACGATTGAGGTTTAAATGTCAGCATTACTGTCGTCATACGTCAAATAAGTTTTGCGGTGGTCAAAAAAATACTTCATTAAGTTTAGTTCGCTAACTTGCGCGATGCTGCTGAGCCCAGTGTATGCGAAATCATTAACGCGTTCGATCAAACTTGAGCAGGCGTATAGAGTATCCTACAAATTTACGTTCGCTACTTGGCGCAATATTCTAAACTCTCAAAAACTTAATCAGCAAACATGCATATAGGGGTTCTTCACAGGGTTAAAAGCATTCAGAATCAGCGTATATGTTTGATGACAATTTTTCTGTGAGTGACAGCATTACCTGCCTTTAAACCAGCAAATGGACCGCTGGTGATTACGAGACGTAGTCGCCCTCATTGACAGCATTTGTTACGTGCCAATGATGAGACAGACTCGAGGTTCCTGTAAGCGACGTCTGCTAAGGTGGCAGGAGTAGCGCAGCGTGATGGGATTGCCTGGCTTAATTGAAGGGCTCATAATGGGCTCTAGTGGATATCAACATTGAAGGGCTCATAATAGGCTCAAGTGGAGATCAACATCGAGCTACACTTCATTAGGACACACAAGCGCTTCTTGCCGCCACTCGTTCTTTTTCACTGTGCAGAACTTGGACTGAAACGGGCATAATTTGTTTGAAATTGACGTCGGACACAAGCATCCTTGCTGCTTCCAGTTGCCTTTAAAAGCCCGCCATCGGTGGAAGTGTCGGGACAAAGTCGAATTACGGCCAGACTTTTTGAGTCGCGTGATAAAAAGGATTTCGCGAAAAAGTGAACGACTGTTTATTTGATCAAGCATTTCTTTCTTTTATTGTGCTATGAATATAGGAAAAAGGTATAGCTCTAGGAAGTTTCCTTGCTGAGACAGAGAACAATGTCGTATTTCGCTTCTTCTTAGTTCAGCGTTGATATACAAACGTTTCCTGGAATCATAGTTCCGGTCAATTATTCGCAGCGCCGTACATGACAATTGCTGCTGCTCGTCGCATACTGATTGTGATTACTTGCAAGAGACTCTGAGAACAACGCCGTACAAAACAAGGAATGCTTCGTGTTAACAAGAACTGCGTTATATACACTCGTCGACCCATCAAAACTCAGAACTAATCACCCGCTGGACCCCGCTAGTTCTCACTCGTGTGAACAAGAACTGCGTTATATAACCTATCAGAACTCAGAACTAATCACCCGCTGGACCCCGCTAGTTCTCACTCGTGTGAACAAGAACTGCGTTACTCGCCAACCTAATCACCGCGGCTGTTGCTGAGGCTCAAATCAAGTTTTTATGGAGAGAATCATTGGCGCCCCGCTTCTCTGCCGCTGCCACATCATGACAATCTCTGGGCACCGTGGGTATTGTGAAGATCTGTGGGCACCGTGGGTATTGTGAAGATCTGTGGGCACCGTGGGTATTGTGGAGATCTGTGGGCACCGTGGGTATTGTGGAGATCTGTGGGCACCGTGGGTATTGTGGAGATCTGTGGGCACCGTGGGTATTGTGGAGATCTGTGGGCACCGTGGGTATTGTGGAGATCTGTGGGCACCGTGGGTATTGTGGAGATCTGTGGGCACCGTGGGTATTGTGGAGATCTGTGGGCACCGTGGGTATTGGTGATGCTCTTTTAAAGAGCAGAGAAAATCCCTTAACGACCACGTACACTCAAGAGGGCCCTGAGAATATTCTGAATTTCAGTTGCATAAATTATTGCCTTGTGTTATTAAGGAATATTTGCTTATTATGATCGGTTTTCATCGTAACAACTAGTGAGAAGTTTAATCAACCCCTTCTCCCCTACCTCCCCTCCTCCTCCCCTCCACCTCCCCTCCACCTCCCCTCCACCTCCCCTCCGCCGTGTCGTGACGTTACTTCACTAATCGTTGGCCTCAATTAATCACGATGCCTGAGCGCGCCGGAATAATCAATTAGTGTTGTGATTATGCAGCATAATTGGCACCTAATTGGGGCGCTGGGCGTCGCAGGGAGCGCGCCTCATTAAGCCTAAGCAGCGCCTAGCACGCCTTATTAAGCCTAAGCAGCGCCTAGCGCGGCTCATTAAGCCTAAGCAGCGCCTAGCGCGCCTCATTAAGCCTAAGCAGCGCCCCCTAAGCAGCGGCTGGCGCGTCACGCATCATTTGGTAGCGATGTTTGATGGACGTTCATTCATAAGACCGGCCCTGTCGAGCGCGTACGATGAACACAAACTTTCCTTCTATTGTTTAATAATATATTTATTTATTAATGTATTCTAGTTTTAAGCGATATTTTAGCGGGCTTAAAAACGTCTACAATTTATCGATTAGTTTAATAGACTAGCGACGCATAAAACAGGAAAGTATTAATCTATTCATGTATTATAATTATGAATGGATGGCAGCGTAGCGTGGCTCTTAGGCTGCATCTGTGCGGTCCTCTGTGGTGCGTTCACGCGACGCCCGCACATGCCGCCAGCTCAAAATGTAATACTGGTGGAATAATTACCGCAATTACTTGCTTTATAGGGCCTAAATACCTTCAATTCGTCCTTAATAGGGCCTAATTACCCTCACTACTTGCTCCATTTGACCCAATATATAATTCTCCTCCTCTGCATTACCGTGTTGCACTGCCGCACTCAGCAGGCACGCGTGTTGCACACTCTGCAGGTGTTGCACACTCCACGCCCAGGCTGCTGGTGCGGGTCTATATTTCCACAACTACTCGCATAAAGTCAAGTGTTGGTCACGGTGTGGCGCCGGTCTAGGCCAGGTGTACCCAGAGTGTTCTGATGTACATTCTGTTGTACATAAGTGCGCCCAAGTGTACTGTTATACCCTGGTGCACGAGTGCAGTGCAGGTGTGCCCGTGTATCCAGGTGTGCCCGTGTGTCCAGGTGTGCCCGGGTTTGCCCGGGTGTGCCCGTGTGCCCGGGTGTAGGGCGTGTGCTGGTCACTCCCTGCGCCCGCGGCGCTGCACCTCAACCTTCGCAGCTGCCGCGCACAGCTTGGCCGCGGCATCGGTGGCAAGGCGGCCTACCTCTTGGCCGCGGCGTCGGAGTCAAGGCGGCCTACCTCTTGGCCGCGGCATCGATGGCAAGGCGGCCTACCTCTTGGCCGCGGCGTCGGAGTCAAGGCGGCTTACCTCTTGGCCGCGGCGTCGGAGTAAAGGCGGCATACCTCTTGGCCGCGGCGTCGGAGTAAAGGCGGCCTACCTCATGGCCGCGGCATCGATGTCAAGGCGGCCTACCTCTTGGCCGCGGCATCGGAGTAAAGGCGGCCTACCACTTGGCCGCGGCATCGGAGTAAAGGCGG